ACCGTAACAAGGGGCTATGGCTTGCCTGACCAGTCTTCTCAAGCATCGTTCGGATCAGATGCAGATAATTATTACACAACACTTGTATCAGTCTGAACCAGTTTTCCTGTTAGGTTTATTCGTATCCTTATTCTTGGCTGGGTAAGATCCTGAACTTAATGACTACAGATACTAGATCATATATAATGATACATCCTTGACCATTACTTTTTCCCCCGACTAGATCCTTCTCGGTTTACTAGGCTGATTCCTTACGCTTCCGTGATCCAACCTTGTCGACTGCTTTATCAGGGTGTATCCTCGACTTGTTCTTGCGCGGGACTTCATCAACACCCAAAATACCCACAGAATCTCCAGAGAAAAGAAACGTTTGCGGCATCCCTTTCACCTGCTCTGGGATTATCCAAGAAGTCTCCCAGGGAACGTTAGCACCACGAGTTCCCCCGTGTAACTTAATTCCCAGAAAATCCTGGAAGTCCACTGAAACGTTCCTTAATACGAAGCATTCTTGACTGAAACCTGATACAGTCTTGGCCCAGTTAACACCAAGAGTTCCCCCGTGTAACTCAATTCCCAGAAAATCCTGGAAGTCCACTGAAACTCCCTTAACACGAAGCACTCATGACCGAAACCGATGCAGTCTTGACCCAGTTCCTTGACCGGGACCATCACCCTTGACCACATCCTATTCTACCCCGAAGACCTCTCTGAGTCAACTTTCATACCCAGATCGAAAGACCCGCCCAATACTTACGTCAGCCCATATCCCTGGTATTGAACTTTCCTGTTTCTGGCGCTGCAACATGTGGCTTACCTTCTCTTCTTATTTAAGTGATGTTCTGGAATTATTGGTCAACGTTAATCTTGTTTTTTTTTCATTTTTGATAGTACTGCCATTGACATTATTAGTGTTCTTGTAGTTCTTGGTATTATTGCTCCTGTTGTTGAAGACTACCGTCATCGTTATTTTTAAAGACTTTATCGTCATCATTTCTGTTATTATAATTATCATCATCATTATTATCGTATTATTGTTATTATTATTATTATTATTATTATTATTATCATTATTATTATTATTATTATCATTATCATTTTTATTACTATTATTATTATCGTTACTGTTATTATTATCATTATTACTATTATTATTATTATTATTATTATTATTATTATTATTATTATCATTATTATTATTATATTATCATTATCATCATCGTTACTATTATTGCTACTGCTATTATTATCATCACCATCGTTATTATTGTTTTGATATTGTTATTGTTATCATTATTGCTTAATCTTGTTATTTCATTATTTTTTATTATCAAGTTTATTATTGTTATCATCATCATCATCAATTACTGTTAGTAATGCTATTATTGCTATTTCATTACGATTATTATTATCACTATCACCACCATCTTTGTTATCTTGTTACTACTAATATATTATTGTCACTGTTAACACTATGTACTTATTGTTACAGTTTTTATTATTACTGACAATCTTATTATCATTGTTATTATTATTACTACTATTCTTACTACTTTAGTCATTATTGTTATTATTTTTGTTTTCATTATTGTAATTATCATTATAATAATTATTGTTTTTGTTGTTATTATTATTGTCATTATTAGTATAATTATCATTATTATTATCGTTATTATTATTACCATTATTATTGTTATTATCATTATTATCATTAGTGTTATTGTTATAATTATTTATCTATTTATTATTATTATCATTATACCAATTATATTTTTTTTATTAGTTATTGTTATTATTATTATTGTTATTATCATCATTAATATTACAAGTACCTTTATCAGTATTACCATTATCATATCATTATTACCATCATTATCTTTATCCTCATTATCATCATTATCTTTATCCTCATTATCATCATCACTGTCATTGTTATGATCGTTATCACTATTATTATCATAAGATCATCTTGTTATAACCTTTATCATTAAGCCTGGGACATTGCCGTTTTTATGATAATTGTAAAGAAAATATTCACATGTGTTTATCTTTATCCGTTGTATTCTCCTCACCACAATTTCACAATTATTCTCAGCGTTTCACTTAAGATACTATTTTTACATTTTCAATATTGATACCAGGCTTATGAGCAGTATTTTCTCTTCATTATCACAACGGACATTTTTTGGGTATAATTTTCGTCTCTATGATTAACTGGTATCTTAGCTCGTCTGAGATAGTGCACTAAATGTGTTTTTTTGAACCGTGAGAGTAAGGGAAGTCTACACTGATAACGCGCTTATCAGTAATGGCTTAAATTGATAAAACCAAAAGGAAGGGACCGCACTGTACATTATAATGCAAATTTGGCTGGGTATTTACAGAACTACAATCTTTTTTCTTTTTTTTTTAATGCCGATGGAAATTTGTCGAATGTTTTAAGTGGGGATATTCATACCCAGCAATGCACTCATCATGGGTAAATCCAGGTCGCAACATCAGGTAAAGACGTAACACATTTTTGTGCGTCACGAAGTGGGGTAAATTTTCGGTCTCCCTCTTGAACTCTTAAAAGATGTTTCCGTGCTCGTTTTTCTTCCTCTGTCCGTCCACATTTTCTAAACTCCATCTAAATATAGTTAAGCATGTATACCAGGAAGTTGGCCATAAAAGGCAGTTCCGCGCGAACCAACTGGCAGATCACAAAGTGTGAGTACCATACACAAGAATGCCTCCTGGCGCATTCAGAAAAGAACTGAAATACAAGCTTTGTACAATAGAAACAGTTCAGGTTATGCCATGGTGAGTGGGCATTTCGGCTTTGCCCATACGCTCTTCTTTCCTTGAATTACGGCCACGCGTATGCGTGTCCTACAAGTCTGTATGGGAATTCAGAGGAAATGATTTCTTCAATAGCTAGTGATTCCCGCGCAATTCTTACTACAGAAAACGGTAAATATTCAGGGTAAACTTATAATATATTTTTTTATTAGTTATTGTTATTATTATTATTGTTATTATCATCATTGATATTATAAGTACCTTTATCAGTATTACCATTATCATATCATTATTACCATCATTATCTTTATCCTCATTATCATCATTATCTTTATCCTCATTATCATCATTATCTTTATCCTCATTATCATCATTATCTTTATCCTCATTATCATCATCACTGTTATTGTTATGATCGTTATCACTATTATTATCATAAGATCATCTTGTTATAACCTTTATCATTAAGCCTGGGACATTGCCGTTTTTATGATAATTGTAAAGAAAATATTCACATGTGTTTATCTTTATCCGTTGTATTCTCCTCACCACAATTTCACAATTATTCTCAGCGTTTCACTTAAGATACTATTTTTACATTTTCAATATTGATACCAGGCTTATGAGCAGTATTTTCTCTTCATTATCACAACGGACATTTTTTGGGTATAATTTTCGTCTCTATGATTAACTGGTATCTTAGCTCGTCTGAGATAGTGCACTAAATGTGTTTTTTTGAACCGTGAGAGTAAGGGAAGTCTACACTGATAACGCGCTTATCAGTAATGGCTTAAATTGATAAAACCAAAAGGAAGGGGCCGCACTGTACATTATAATGCAAATTTGGCTGGGTATTTACAGAACTACAATCTTTTTTCTTTTTTTTTAATGCCGATGGAAATTTGTCGAATGTTTTAAGTGGGGATATTCATACCCAGCAATGCACTCATCATGGGTAAATCCAGGTCGCAACATCAGGTAAAGACGTAACACATTTTTGTGCGTCACGAAGTGGGGTAAATTTTCGGTCTCCCTTTTGAACTCTTAAAAGATGTTTCCGTGCTCGTTTTTCTTCCTCTGTCCGTCCACATTTTCTAAACTCCATCTAAATATAGTTAAGCATGTATACCAGGAAGTTGGCCATAAAAGGCAGTTCCGCGCGAACCAACTGGCAGATCACAAAGTGTGAGTACCATACACAAGAATGCCTCCTGGCGCATTCAGAAAAGAACTGAAATACAAGCTTTGTACAATAGAAACAGTTCAGGTTATGCCATGGTGAGTGGGCATTTCGGCTTTGCCCATACGCTCTTCTTTCCTTGAATTACGGCCACGCGTATGCGTGTCCTACAAGTCTGTATGGGAATTCAGAGGAAATGATTTCTTCAATAGCTAGTGATTCCCGCGCAATTCTTACTACAGAAAACGGTAAATATTCAGGGTAAACTTATATATTTTTCCAAAAGGTTTGTGATATGTATTTCTCACACGTATGGGTATATCACAAATGTACATGATCTGCACCAGTGCAATAACATTTGTCGTATCGTAACAAATCCTTTATGTTTGTATATGGATAAGAGAAACAGTTAAACAAACAAATGAGAAGATACATTCTCCGTGCGAAACATATATTACACACAGAGATGATCCAAGAGGATAATATACAATTATTTCTTTTTAATGCATTTTTTCATGATTGCTCATATGTTCCAATTATTAATTTCGTGGGATAAAACTGCGTAACTAAAATCCACAAACATTCTCAGTGTCGCGCATTTGGCAATACTGCGACAGGGGGGAAACCCAGGGAGAGGAACATTGCCACGTCTCGCCGGGATTATAATTCGTGGCACTATACGCATTCT